TTTGTGGCAAATAGATGGGGGAAAAGTAGAAGTGACAGATTTTATTTTCTTGGGCTCCAAAATCACTGTGGATGGTGACTTCAGCCATGAAAGTAAAAGACACTTGCTCCTTGGAAGGAAAGTTATTGACAAACCTAGACAACCATATAGTTTTTCCAGTAGTCATGTATGGATGTGAGAGTTGGACCGTAAAGAAGGCTGAGCACTGAAAAATTGATGCTTTCAAACTGTGGTGCTGGAGAAAACTCTTGAAAGCCCCTTGGACTGCAAGGAGATCAAACCAGTCACTCCAGAAGAAATCAACTCTGAATATTCATTACAAGGACTGATGCTTCAGCTCCAATATTTTGGCCACCTGATGCAAAGAGCCAGTTCATTGGAAAAGACCCTGATGCTGGGAAAGATTGCGGGCAGGAGGAGAAGGGGGCAACAGAGGATGAGATGGTTGGGTGGTATCACTAACTCAATTAACATAAGTTTGAGCAAACTCCGGGGAGATGGTGAAAGACAGGGAGGCCCAGTGTGCTGCAGTCCGTGGGGTTGCCAAGAGTCAGACATGACTTAGCAATTATACGACAACTTATATCAGGCAAGTGTTTTTGCTCTTAGATATTACACTTTTTTCCCCCTTCATTTCATTTTCTTGTCTCCAGACAAGCACATGTGCAAATGGAAGAACAGTGTTTCTAGGCTTTTTCACTGACCACGTGGTAGACAGTGTCACAGAACCGAAACGCGTCTTAAGTGGGACATATTGGGGCCCTACTTGTGCAGGCCGGCCGTACCCTTGAAAGGGCTCAGGGAGCACCCCGCCATCTGTACGGCTGCCCTGGAGCAGGGCCCATCTCGCTTTCTGTCTGGCTCGGGCCTCAGGTCTCCCAGCTTCTCAAGATGCCTCGAGACCTGTGGGGACAGTGCACCGTATCCAGAAACCATAGTTAAGAAGGATATGCTAGCGGGGGAGGTGGGGTAAGAATCTGCCTGCCAATGCAGGGGACACAGGTTCGACCCCTGGTCCAGGAAGGTTGCACCTGTCTTGGAGCGACTAAGCCTGTTCGCCACAACTACCTAAACCACAGCCCTAGAGCCTGTGCTCCGCAACGGGAGAAGCCACTGCAATGAGAAACCTGAGCACCTCAGCGAGAGGAGCGCTCGCCTGCCTCAACTTAGAGAAAGGCTGGGTGCAACAGTGAAGATCCAGCACAACCAAATGAGCGGATTAGTAAAAAGAAGGATGGGCTAGATGCGAAGTAAAGAGCCTTGTCTTTGACTCTTCAAAATCGTGTGCCGGCAAGGCTGCAAGTCACATGAGGGGTGAACGGTATGGCGGAGAGGACACAGCTTTGGACCTGGGCCCGCAGTGACCCCGATCCTGACCCGGGACCTTGAGTGCACGCTTCAGTTTCTTAACCCATGAGACGAGGAGGTTTGGCTGACCTCAGTGCTTGCTGAGGCTGTGAAGGCAGGATCTGCACAACCTAGGGGCTCAGACGTTTGCTGAATGAATGAATGGGTAGACGAATTCTTAGCCCAGGTGACTTCCTGCGTGAGGCAGGGGCTGGGGTGACAGGCAGGCCCCCCATCCCTCCCTCACCTGTGCCCCTTCACCCCCTCTCAGGTTTAGTCCTGGGATCTACCACTTTGAGAAATGTTTGAACAACCCTGGATTAGGTGACCCCTCTCTGAACATGTCACCTCCCTGGACACCTTTTACCGGGATAAAAGTTGCTGGAGAATAAACGCGGTTGGAGTCACGTAGGGTGGGCCGTGCCGCAGACGGCTAGGTCCGTAAAATAGGGCCCCGCTGCCCCGGTGGCTGCGGACCACAGACATTCTCGCTCGGTCCTGGAGTCAGCAGGTCCCCTGGCGTCGGCAGGGTTGGCTCCTGGAGATGCTGCGGGAAGACCCGCTCCGTGCCCCTCCCCTGACCTCTGGGGCTGCATTTCTCGGTGTGCAGGCGCACCAGTCTGGTCTCTGCCTCCGTCTTCATGTGACGCCCTTTGAGTGTGTCTGCCTAGATTTCCTCTTCCTTCTGAGGGCATCAGTCACTGACACAGGGTCTGAGCAGAGGTAGATGGAAAAATGAATAGTGGTTGTAAGAGGGTGAAGAGGAGTGACTGACTGAGGGTGAGTCCATCGCCTAGGACTTTGATTAGCGCGCTCGTGTTCTTAAAACACGTTTCCGCAGAGTGGGATCGTGGGATCGTGGACTCGGCCTCTTCTGCAGAGCGAACGATGTGCAGGCATGATCATTTCGTGCATGTGCTGAAGTCACTTCTCGTGGCTTTTAAATTGTTGCACAGCACTCCATCACTGCCTTCTGGGTGAGGCTGCCTGTGTCCCCCACGGTGTCTCGCACGAAGTAGACGTACCCCAAGTGGCGGCTGTTTCTGCTGTTTCAGCTAAGGGGCCTGTGACTCTGATGGGGCCGTCGGTTCCTTTCTGAGTCCTTTGGTGGGCGGGTGCTCTGGAAAGCGGGTGCGGACAGTGTAGCCTGCAGCGTGGGGATTCGGACATGCCCGAGGGGGCCGCACCTGCACGCGGAAGGGAGCTTTTGGGCCGCCCGGCAGGCCCAGCCCAGCCCAGCCTTGCTCCCTTCCCGCCACGGGTAGCTGCGGAGCTCCGGTTACCCCAGATTGGAGCCGTGTGCGCGCCAGCCACTCACCACGTGGGGCAGTCCTGGGAAGGGGCACGGTGCGGCCAGTGGGGCGGCGTTTTTCTTAGAATGTTTTTGAGTGACTTGGTTTACTGGTTGACCTTCTGGAGAAATATAGGGTAGGGCTGTTCCCCTTTGTCTCTGACTCCACTCAACACCCCCCCACTGTCTATGTAATATGTACATATGTGTGTGCAGGGGTGACACCCTCTGTGTATGTAATGTGTACGTGTGTGTGGGGTGACAGCCCCCATCTATGTAATATGTACATATGTGTGTGCAGGGGTGACACCCTCTGTGTATGTAATATGTACGTGTGTGGGGAATGACACCCCCTGTGTATGTAATACGTACATATGTGTGTGGGGGGATGACACCCCCTGTGTATGTAATTCGTACATGTGTGTGTGGGGGTGACACCCCCCCGTCTATGTAATGTGTACATATGTGTGTGCAGGGGTGACACCCTCTGTGTATGTAATACGTACATATGTGTGTGTGGGGATGACACCCCCTGTGTATGTAATACGTGTGTGTGTGGGGTGACACCCCCCGTCTATGTAATATGTACATATGTGTGTGCAGGGGTGACACCCTCTGTGTATGTAATGTGTACATGTGTGTGCAGGGGTGACACCCTCTGCATGTAACATGTACATGTGTGTGTGGGGTGATACCCCCACTGTATATGTAACATGTATATGTGTGAGAGGGGCTACACCCCCACCGTGTGTAACATGTACATGTGTGTGGGTGACACCCCACCATATATGTAATATGTACGTGTGGGGGTGACACCCCCACCGTATGTAACATATGCATGTGTGTGGGAGTGGCTCCCCTCACCATGTATGTAATGTGCACATGTGGGGGGTGCTGACACCCCCACCGAGTGTGTAACATGCACGTGTGGAGGGGTTCGATGGTGAACAGAGTGATACTGCACATTAAGCTTTTCTTTCTCAGAGTAAACACACTGGCTTCCTGAAACTTACATTACTTCACGTGTTATCTATGCTGACCTGCTGTTTTCTTGGTGTGGTCTAGACTTCCTTGATTTTCTGCGTGTTTTCAAATATTTATCAGTCGCATGGAGCTCCTTGGAGCAACAGCTTCTCAAAAATTTGAAACCCTGTAGAATGTGAATTAAATTCTCATCTCATTTAATCCTGCCTCTGTCTTTCCCCTGCTGATTCATCCTGCTTTGATGATGGTAGGATCTGTTACAGAATCCATGGTCCAGTTGTGCTGTGTTCAAGCAGGACGGAATCCCTGGAAAGCCAGACTTAGATGCAGACCAGTGCTGCTGAGGTTGTCCCCTCTGGGACCAGAAGGAGCCTTCTGGGTTGCTGTGAGTCATTACGGGATGGTCTGCAGCGCTGAGGAGCTTGACTTTGGTGTCAGCTCAGCCTGCTTTCAAATCCCAATTCTTCCTCTTTTCTTTCTGTTTGGGGAAATTCATTTCCTCAGTTTCAGTTTCCTCGTCTGAAAAAAAAGGGAACGCTTAGATGGTAAGGCTTCAGTAAGCATAAGCTGCTTCTGCTGTTGCCGGAAGAAAACCACAGCTTCTGTTATAAGGAAGAGAAAGGATCTTTGCTCACTCATTGTGGATTCAGGTGACTGAGCTGTACCTGTGATCTTAGATGTCAGCCAGCAGGAAATGTGCTTAACCAGTAAAGAATGTCTGCGGAAAACCTAGAGAGACATCCTCCTTCGTGAGGAAGTGTGGAAACGTTTCCTGTAAATCATGTACACGACGCAGGACGCCCCGCTGGTGCTGCTGCCCTTCCCCGCGCTCAGCAACCCAGCCTGTGCGTCAGTGGGGGCGGGATGCGGGGAACAGAGCCGTCGGCCTGCGCAGATGACGACTGTGGAGAAGACCTAGGAGCATCTGGAACCTGGTATCTGGGAATAAAGCTAACAGCCACGGTCCGTGTAAAAAGCTTAGGATTTGAACACATCCATGAAATTTTAAAGAGTTTTGACCTGTATTGGGGTTCTTTATATAAACCATTTCACTCTGTCTTTTGAGGGAAGGAGTTACTTGGTTTTGTTTTTACAATAATTTTTTTTTTTTTTTGCTGCACCTCGTGGCACATGGGATCTTAGTTCCCCAACCAAGGATCAAACCCACACCCCATGCGTTGGGAGCTTGAGTCTTAACCCCTGGACCACCAAGGAAATCCCGGAGAGTTTTAATTAGTGTAAAATTCCAATCTATAATATATCACCTTTGTTGAGTATCACACTTTGCTGAGTGTGGTTTTTTAGTTTTTTTTTTTTTTTTTGTATCCAAAACTTGTTTGTTGGGATGATTTCCTGTTCATCTTGAGACAGGGTGCTTTTAGTGCTGCTTCTGTCTGAAAGAGCATCCTTCTGTAAGCCTTGCTTTTCCTCCTGTAGTCTGGCAGAGGACAGTAGAGAAAGCAACACCCAACACTACTGTTTGTGCGTGGCTAAGTACGGCGGTGGTTTCAGAGCATCCTGGGCACTTTACATCCGTGAAACAGGAACTGGGGCTCTGCACCAGGCGCTGCTTGTGTGTCCTCCTCTTCCGGAGAGGATAAAGGAGATCCTTTGCGAGAGGCATGTTCTCATGAGCAGGTTGTCACCGCCGGAAAGGGCTGAGTATGGTATTTTAGATACACTTTTTAGGAATGTTGCACTGTTAGCCTGTCTTTAAGCCTGTCTCATATTTTGGGTTTTGAAAAGTAAATCTGTTTCATTGATCTAAGGAGAATTACATAAGACAGGTAGTCACTTGGGCTCCAAGGGTCATAGGGCTTCTCAGTGTTTCCCAAATTCAGGAATGCCTCAGAGTACACTTGGTAGCATTTCTGAGGTTTTCAGCACGTTTGTTAGATCAGGCACTGTGCTTCTTGCCTGCATCTGCACCAGCCCCAGAGTCTACCCCCTGAGCGCCATCCTTTTTCCTCCAGTGTGGATCCATTGGCAGCTGGATTTGCTCTTGGCAGTGGTTCTGCCCTTAACATCCTGTGTTAAAATCGGGTGTCTGCCTTGATCCCCTGAAAAATAGCTTGGTGGTTGTGTGAAATAGAAACAGACTCGAGACCGTTTCCGTGGCTGCAGACACCCCCACAGTGTTCAGGTGCCTGACTTCCCGCGGTGCTTGTCGTGTGCACCGGTAGATAGTCACAGCACGGAGGATGTGGGCACCAGCCAGTAGCCTCTACGTGTCTGTCATCAAAGATAGTAAATGAGAACCCAGGCATGCCCTGGGGAAAAGGGAGACTCTGGAAGCTTCCGATACCACAAGGAAAGAGTACTGATTGACTTTACTAAATAGAATAGTACAGCTTATGCAGATTATTTATAGAAAAGGAGAAGGATATATCTAGTGATATTATTCCTAAATTAGTCTTCAGTTGTTTTTTTTTTTTAATTTTTTAAAATTAAAACCTTATGATTTTTTGGCCATGCTGAGTCTTTGTAGCTGCTTTCTCTGGTTGCAGAGAGTGGGGAGGACTCTCTGGTTGGGCAGTGCACGGCTTCTCATGGGGGCTTCTCCTCGTGGGGGCGTCTCCTGCTGCAGACCACAGGCTCTGGAGCACAAACTGATCCCGCAACATGCGGGATCTTCCCGGACCAGGGATTGAACCCTGGTCCCCTCCATTGGCAGGTGGATTCTTAACCACTGGACCACCAGGGAAGTCCCAGGTTAACTTTTCAGTCCTGTGAAAATTGAGGCTGTGAGGACCTTAGGTGATCTATGCCTATGTCAGTGTGGGCCTTAGAGAAAATGTTAATTCTTTCTGGTTAGAAGATTATATTTACCAAAGCATATTCTGAGGGACACAAAACAGGTCTTGAGCAAGTATGGAAATGCTACTTTGTTTCCTTCCTGGAGGTTCCACCGGCATATTATTACCATATTAAAAAGTTTCAAGATGTCCTAAAATGAAAAAAGAAAAAACTTTTTATTTCAGCCCTGGTATTTTCCTAACTCATGCAAAAAGGAAGTAGTTCTATAACAGAAGTGATACATTTTTATGTCACCTGGAATACACCTTGGAGAAACTAGCAGGCTCTCTTTTAAACCTTGACACTGTTCATTTAAATAGCTTCCTAGAGGCTATACATGGTTATCTTAAGAGTTGCATCTAAAAACTTGATTTAATCTTTGAAGCATGTAATTAATGGATGCAGAATGAAAATATGTATAGCAAACCTGTTTTGACTTTTCAAATCTGTATCATTTTGCAAAATCAAATAGAGGATTTTATTTCGATTCTTGAAAATTTCTGACTAGTAAGATACAAGTCAGATAATATGTATAAAATTTTCATACTGAATTAGGTACCTCTCATTGACAGACCTAAAACATTACCCAAATAGTGCTTCTGACCTAGGTTCATTTTAGAGAACTGTAATATGTATTATTAATATTACTTTCCATACTGTTCATGGGGTTCTTGCAGCAAGAATACTGGAGTGGTTTGCCATTTCCTCCTCCGGTGGACCACATTTTGTCAGAACTCTTCATTGTGACCCGTCCATCTTGGGTGGCCCTGCACGGCATATTTCATAGCTCGTTGAGTTAACACAAGCGCTTCTTTCATGACAAGGCTGTGATCCATGACAGGGGAGCCTGGCATGGTGCATTCCACGGGGTCACAAAGAGTTGGACATGACTTAGTGACTGAACAACAACAATCCGTATTAAGTAATACAGTGGCTTTTAATAGTAACTACCAAAAAATTGGCTCACTGTCTTACCAGTGAGTTGTAGGATTTCCGGCCATTTTTCTCCCACTCATTGAAACTCAGAAGATAGATTACTTTGTAGTTTTGAAATGAGTAGTTGAAAGCTGTAAAATTTTTGTACATAAGACATTTTGACGGGCAGCAGTATCGCTTTGAAAACTTACTGTAATTCACAGTGATCTACTCTTTTACTTGATAGAATGTTTCATCCTTGACAGAGTAGTTTTCAGTATGTTGGAGCTTTTTGCATTTTCAAAAATTCCAAAAATCTTCCTAGTTTGTTTTGTTTTGTTTCCAAATAAACTTGCTTTTGAAACTTCCCCAGCGGTCCAGTGGTTAGGAATCTGCACTCCACTGCAGGGGCACAGTTGCCATCCCTGGTCAGGGAAGCTCCCTGTGAAAACAAAACTAATAAACTTGCTTTGGGTTCATGAAAATACGCATTTCTTAAAGTAAGGTCAATTTAACTTGCTCCTAACAATTTTTTAGGTTCCTAAAATTTAGTTGTTCCATCTCTTTTCCAACATTTTTTCTAAAAGCTTTCCAGAATTTCATAGTAGTGACCTTTGTTTCAGTTTGGGGATTTTCTTTGATAGCTGCATTGTAATCTCTTAGACTACACTTCAGATACAGGTATATACGTTTCTGTCTCTCTTTTGACCCAGATGGCTTCATGTATGTTTTTTTATCCTGTAAACTGTATGACATGAAATTTGCCCCTTTTAGGGGAAAAAAGGGGCATTTTTCTAAATATTTGTAAAGACTTTTTTAAAGGCATAAAAACTACCATTTTACAGCCCTGCTAAAGAATTCTGATGTCTAAGCTAAACACTTCATTGGTTACTGTACCGTGACAACCTGCAAATAAATTATAATCTTTGAAAAAGCAGTTCAGCTTTTCAGACCAGAAGTATTAAGTGGTGAGTAGTGAATCAGCAAGTGCCTGCCAGTCAGGTAAGACTTAGAAATAAAGCGGGGTTACTGGACGCAAGCAGTTCATCTGCTTCATGTTCAGCCCAGTTAAAGCTATCAGAATGCAAAGGCTGGTCTGGACTGTGATTTCTACAAGCATTTGACAACAGCATGGTCAATAGAGGAGAATTCATCTCAGTTGGACAAGTTCTTCTCTTTTATTCATTCTCGTCTCACACTTGATCTGCGTCTCATCTGTTTTGCTTTAATGGGAGTCTGTTTAGTACTTTGATTCTCAGGTAGAACTGAGCACTTTCTCCTGTTTTTTACCTTCATACAGTCGGTTCTTCCTTCTAAACAGATACTAACCAAGGTCTGTTACACAGCAGTGGTTTATTAAGGCATTTGCTAGTTACTTTTATTGTCAGGTAGTAGTCTTATTTATCTATGAGAACTGTCCTACATTCATGAAAAAAATCCATTTTGTTTGTCCCTGGAGAATATACACTGATCATTTCTGATTACCTGGCTAGTAAAAGTGGAACTTCTTAATCTATTATGCAGTTCTTCCTGTTTGCACAGAAGGAACTCATGTCCCACACTAGATTTGTTGATTGCATTATTTTATAATGCAGCGCTATTCATTTTCTAGGTCTAGACACACTTCTCGATGGGGAAGAGACTATAAGTCTGATTGTCCATTTCTATACAGTTTTCCAGTTACATGGCTAAACAGGTGTACATGGCCAGCTTTTAGCCCCTGATCCTGTCCTCAGTGATACAGCTGTGGGGTAGGATCCATAGTTCTCTGTGGGTTTTCTCTTCTAGCCATACATTGGCTCCGGAGCCAGGCTACCTACTCAAGAGAATAAGCAGTACGTTGTGTTCCAAATCGGTGTACTGAGACCTGAAAATAATAGGCAAGGGTTACATGTATATGCTTAACCCCCTCATTATGTGAGTGCCCTCTCTGGTTTCCTGGCAAAAGTTATTTAGGAAGTTTGTGAAAGTAGTAGAATATGAACAGTCATAGTGTTTCAAACATCTGTCTCTTTATTCTCTTTTCTGTGTTCTTTTTTCTGTTTTATACCCTTTACCCTTTACCCTTTCCCCTCAAAGGCTTTTCTTTATGTGAAAATCCTATGGACACCCAAATTGAAAAATTATGAAAAGATAGTCGCAGGTAGTATAGGCCTTTGATGAATATTGAGCACTTTTAACAATTTTTTGATGAAACTGGGAGTGAAGAAGGACCCATTAAAAATAGAGTGAAGGCATAAATTACCCCGTACCAGGTCACAGGGAGGGCGGTGGGTTCCATGGGAAGAAGTCTGTATTGTGCCTAGGACGCGGGAAGCCTCCGGGAGGCGTGTGTGTTTGGGGCTTCCCAGGTGGCCCCCCCCAACACCCCCCTCCCATGCCAGTGTATGAATATTGTTTTATCTCCCAGACTTTCTTCTTCAGACTTCATTCCCCCTGTTGGATTGGGAAGGATTTGGCTAGACTCAGTTTTGATCACCTGCCAAAGGACTCAGCTCTCTGCCGCACAGCACCTGGACTGTGTCACGGCCAGGCCCTGAAGACCAGCCTCGTTTGGAGGGAGCCCCTGCACAGGAGGCGGTTGGAGAAGCATGTGGATGGGGGTCACTGAAGGACGAGGCTGCTGAGGACAGCGAGAGCCCTCAGTGTTGCCGGAGAGCGCAGGGCGGCCTTGTGTGAAGGCTGCCTAGAGGGCCCGGGGCAGGACTCCACTCCGCGACTGCCTAGCCCTTCTTACCTCTGCAGCGTTCCTGCCTTCCAGAACCCTTTCTGAGCATTAAAATGAGTCTCTTCTGTATGGGTTCTTTTTCTTTTTGCAATGTTTTAATTCGTCCGTGGCTTTGAATGTTCCGTCTGAGTTTCCCAGATGGCTGTGTCCAGCGTTAGATTCCGCACGTCAGACGCAGAGCTGTT